TATATTGCATCACTTCCTGCATTCAGTGCCACTCTCCAGCTACAGAAGCTGATGAAGCCGATCTCTGCTTCATCAGCATCTCTGGGGGTCCCCAGGTGACATTAGGGGTCCTCGAGACCCCTGATGTCTCCATAAAGAGGACCTGTCATGTAAATTGGCTATCCCATAGGGGGCTTCTTAGCCCCCCATGTAATAGACCAAGATTCCTCAGAGTTTAAGCTACCAGGATTTTTTTTTTTGGGTTCACATATACCCTATATTGCCAAAAGTATTGTGCCCCTCCCCCTCCAAATCATTGGATTCCGGTGTTCCGTGACATTTCCTGATTTTGGCAATATAGTGTACTTTAACATGTACATTCAGCTCCAGCCTGATCCGTCATCAAACACAACCACGAAGGAGCCAAGATGACAAACACACGGCTCAATCTGCACACTGCTCAGCTTTAGTGTCTTATACATGGAATTTAAAAGTACAATAATCAGATAAACAGAGCAGGAGGTGTATTCAGCAGTAACATGCTACGGGATTACTATACAGGGGATCTGTGGTCAAAAACAAAAAATAAATCTGAATTTTCATTCATTTTCTCCCTCTCTTAACAACCAGATCCATCTAGAAGTCTGTAAACGTATTGAAGATGCCCATAGGATGCACTTCCTTGTATCACCGGCCTCCTGCACTACAGTCAATGTCTGAACAATGTAACATCATCATCACTTGCTGGAAGCAATGCATGATGGGTAGTGTAGTCTAGAGAAATAGAGATTGCATCACATCAAGCAGCAGGAGAAGAGATGCAAAGCACACTGGGAATTTAGGAAGTTGATGGAAGTGATGGGCAGACAGAAGGCGGCGCTCCCTACATAAAAGGGACTTTTTCCAAGTAAGCTTTGATTGTATTATCAGAAACAACTCTACTATGTATTCCTATTACAATGCTGATGATATAACAGAGGTGGAGATGCTGGGACTTTACAACTCCTTAAAGGTGAATTATGAGGTGAGTGATTTTCACCCAGCCTCATAATCAGAGCTGACCTGTGACAATGAGACTGTCACAGGTCGGCTCACTAGATCGGGAAGTGAGCGAACACATACCGGCGCTCGCTCACTTCTCCATCTATCCGTGCAGAGAGCCGTGACAGGGGAGGGACTGGATTCCCCCCTCCCCTGTCTGATCCTCCAGTGCTGACTGGCGGAACGGACGGGGGAGGGGGCGGGTACAGCTGGCTTTTTCTGTTCATCAGTTTAACACTAAACTGATGAACAGAAAAAGCGTTTTAATCGTCACCTATGGGCGTTTTTTGTGATTTTTGCAGGCGCACGCAATTTTAAGGCTTGACATGTTTGGTGTCTATTTACCCGACGTCCCCCATAGTTCACCTTAGGGTAACGGGAGGACACAAACTAGCGTCCTCCCGTTACCCTAAGGTGAACTATGGGGGAAAGCCCTGACCCCATAGTTCTCTTTTAACTTGTGTCAATGTAACTTTAATGAAGAAGAGTAGACAGGGGATACATTGTTATTTACATAGGATTTCACACAATACCGGGACCGACCCAGAACTACTCGCTGTGCAGTAATGTGCTGACATCTGCTGGATGTTATCTAGAACTACATCTTAATATGTAAGCATAACAATTGCTTGGAGTAAAAGGAGTTTTGTACATAAAATCCAGGAAAATGAAAAGTGGATGATGATCATAAGATCATGTACGGCCATAGTAGCCACAGGGGAGCGGGGAGCTTAGATAAAACCATTGCACAGATGGGGGGCACCAGTGGACAGAGCTGGAGAGACTTGTGCTTTCAAAAAAATCAGATTTGTTTATACATAACATGCTAACATGCTTCGGGGGGGGGGGCTCAGAAAAGCCCCTTCATCACAGCTATATGTTGTAACGTAAAGAGAGAAGAATTATATACACCGATCAGCAAATAACATTATGACCACCCGTCTAATATTGAGTAGGTCCCCCTTTTCCTGACCCGTCCAGGCATGGACCCCACTAGACCCCTGAAGGTGTGCTGTGGTATCTGGCACCAAGCCGTCAGTAGCAGATCCTGTAGGTTGTGAGGTGATCGGCCTCCATGGATCGGACTTGTTTATCCAGAACATCCCACCGATGATGGATCAGATTGAGATCTGGAGAATTTGGGGGCCAAGTCATCACCTCAGACTCGTTGTTGTGTTCCTCAAACCATTCTTCAACCATACATGCAGTGTGGCAGGACACATTATACTGCTGGGAGAGGCCACTGCCATCAGAGAATACCGTTTCCAGGAAGGGGTGTACTTGGTCAGTAACAATGTTTAGGTCGGTGGTCGGTGTCAGAGTGACATCCACATGAATGGCCTGACCCGAGGTTTCCCAGCAGAACATTGCCCCAAGCATCACACTGCCTCCGCCGGCTTGTCTTCTTCCCATAGTGCACTCTGGTGCTATATAACAATATATTGCTTGCATTTCTTATTGATCAAATAACACCCCATAAACCCTCTACACTACAATACGAGGTAGCATTTGTCTGAGAGCTTGCAGCCATGATGGAGGGAGCTTTCCTGACCCCAGAAACGCGTGGGAGTTTTCTTTTTACACAATAAAGCTGAATTTTATAAACTGTCTTCAGGTATTTCTCGTAGTGATCCCCACTTCCATCAACTCCATTCATCAGCGCGAAGCGCCCCCGAGCCTCCAGGATGAATAAGGACTGGTTGAAGTCACCGGGCACCCTGCCATTCACACGGCTTGCCTACTACTGGTCACAAATTACCAACAACAAGGCGCTTACACCCCAACCTCGGGCTCCTGCATCCCACCCCCCACCCCCAATCCAGTATTTGATGCTTTTTTTTTTTAGGGATGAACCGATATAGATACTAGTATTGGTGCCAATGCCGAGTATTTGGTCGAGTACTCACCCAAATGCTCCGATGTCTAGCCCGATACTGATACTTCCGGTATCAGGAAACCGGGCAGCACGTCATTACACGCTGCCGGCTTGCTGATTGGCCAGGAAGCCGGCTGCATGCTTCTTCGTCACCTGGTGACGAGGGGGCATGGAGACAGCTTCCCGGCCAATCAAGAAGCCCGGGCAGCGTGCAATGACGCGCTGCCAGGCTTCCCGATTGGTCGGAAGCTGACCAATCAGGAAGCCAGGCGCCGTGTAATGACGCGGCGCACGGCTTTGTGATTGGTCTTGAAGCTGGCTTCATGCTCCCTCGTCACCTCATGATGAGGGAGCATGGAGCCGGCTTCCCGGCCAATTAGGAAGCTGGGCACCACGTCATTACACAGCACCCGGCTTCCTGATTGGCCAGAAAGCCGGCTCCATGCTTTCTCGTCCCCTAGTGACAAGAAGCATGGGGACGGCTTCCCTGCTAATCAGGAAGCCGGGTGGCGAGTCTTTATACACTGCCTGGCTTCCTGAAAGGGACTTCCGGTACTCGGTATCGGTGAGTACCGGGGAAAAAGATATCGGTATTCGTACTTGATACCGAAATACCGTTATCGGCGCATCCATTTTTTTTATGCTGTGTATTTTCAGATGTCTTCAGTCTGCTCACTCGAGGTGCAGGCGCCAGACAATCTGCGGTCCCAATGAGGCAGAGGAGGGGGTGACATGACAACGCTAAGATGACTCTCTGGGACTCTCCGGGGCGCTATGGTGACATCTCCTCGGGGGGCAGATCCATGACACCTCGTCCTCCTGAAAGATTGAGAACATCTTGGGGCAGAGAAGAGGGACCGCAGGGGACAACTCTGGAAAGGAGGAGACAACTGCAGCTGCTGGGACACCATGAATAACAACACAAAGTAACTCGGCGGTGGCCTGTACCAGTGCCCGGCCCTGGACTCTTGCAGTCACCCCTCCAGCCAGTCTTTTATACCGTCCTTTTCCAGGTGTTGTCAGTCTGGTCACACAAAGTGCGGCCTCCCCTTACTGCTCAGATCTTCTCCACCAGATAATGGGCAGAGAGCAGAGCCAACATGGCGACACTACTTTCCCCATCGTGACGCTGTAAATCCAGGTACTGTGGGGGATCGTGGCACCCTGCCCCCAGTCCTCCGGGTTGAAGTCCTCTAGGTGCACCCCCCACTTCCCCCGGCAGGGGACTGGGATCGCTGTATGCTACCTTTAACATCCTAAACCTCAGCTAATACCCTTAGCACATGTCACATGATCTCAGAAAAAAGCAACCCACGGAGGACTCACAGAACTGGCATTTTGTCCCCGGCGCCTCTCACTGAACCTGCAAAATGCTCCCTTCCCATGATGCAATGCGATCTTTCAATGTGTCGTCAGATCTGCTGCGATTAAGCCGGTGATATGGAGGAAGAGATCATAAAGAGATCTCCATCGCACACCAAACTGGTCCTCGCCATCGGGTGTGGGCTGCTGGGGCAACTGGTGGACAGTGTCACCGCAATCAGGATGAGAAAACACTGACAGCACCCGTCTCTACTGACATACAGAAAGTGTGACGTATGGGAACCACCCGGGGCCCCTTCGTCAGGCCCCTCAATGATACAAACCTGTATACAGACGTGCCACCGATGGGAGGAAGCGCGCTGGTGGTTCCGATAGGTGTCACTTTCTGTATGACGTGCTGAACAAATGTCAATGGAGACGATGTGACCGGGCCGGTGACAAATTCCCTATGGGGGGTGGGGGCGGGGGACACAACTGAGGAGCGATCGTCACTTTCTGCTCATTTCTTCCCATCACAGACAATAAAAGTCAAGTGTTCCGTGTCACTGATGCTGCTCATTCTACTTATTAGAGCGGGGGGAGGGCGACCCCCAGCTACGGGGAAACTACTAATCCCACCATGTCTGGGAGTCATGTCTGTGGCTGTCAGAGTCTTTAGATGCCTCATGGGACTTGTAGTTCCACAACATCTGGAGTGCTGAGGTTGCCTCCCCTGTACTAGAGTCAAATGAATGGAGTTCTGCTATCTACACCCAAACAGGAAGCCGGCTCCGTGCTTTACCTTTGAAGCAGGTGATGAAATTCTTCACTTTGGTGTCATCCAGGAAAAGCTGAAAAACAAAGAACAGAAGTCAGACAGAGCGGATCCCGGCCCGCTGATCATCTGCTTCCACTCCAGCTGTGGGGAAACTAGAAATCCCATTATACCTCTGCCTCTGGGAGTCATGCCTGTGACCGTCAGAGTTTTGCAATGCCTCATGGGACTTGTAGTTCTACAACAGCTGGAGTGCCGAGGTTGCCTATCCGTGTAGTAGGGGATTGTTAAAACCCTGTCAGACTTTTTTTGCTTCACTTCCTGTTCTGCCGTCTCAACAGGAAATCTTTTCACATAATCCCCCCGTGCGCTCCATCACCCCCAGCACATTGCTCAGGTCATGCTTTGCATGGTGCCCCCATCAGAGTGCCCCCATACATTGTGTTCCATTGGAAGAGTGTACTCTGATGGGGCACCTAATGTAGGGGGGCACTCTGATGGGGACACCTAATGTAGGGGGGCACTCTGATGGGGACATCGAATGTAAGGAGCACTCTGATGGGGGCATCTAATGTAAGGGAGCACTCTGATGGGGGCACTCTGATGGGGACACCTCATGTAGGGGGGCACTCTGATGGGGACACCTAATGTAAGGGGGCACTCTGATGGGGACACCTAATGTCAGGGGGCACTCTGATGGGGACATCGAATGTAAGGGAGCACTCTGATGGGGGCACCTAATGTCAGGGGGCACTCTGATGGGGGCACTCTGATGGGGACACCTCATGTAGGGGGGCACTCTGATGGGGACACCTAATGTCAGGGAGCACTCTGATGGGGGCATCTAATGTAAGAGGACACTCTGATGGGGGCACCTAATGTAAGGTGGGGCACTCTAATGGGCAGTCTGATGGGGACATCAAATGTAAGGGGGCACTCTGATGGGGACACCTAATGTAAGGGGGCACTCTGATGGGGACACCTAATGTAAGGGGGCACTCTGATGGGGACACCTAATGTAAGGGGGCACTCTGATGGGGACACCTAATGTAGGGGGGCACTCTGATGGGGACATCGAATGTAAGGGGGCACTCTGATGGGGACACCTAATGTAAGGTGGGGCACTCTAATGGGCAGTCTGATGGGCACCCCTTACATTGGTTGTCCTCATAAGGCCTTGTTCACACTGAGCGATTTATCGCACGGTAATTCCCGCAATATCGCGGCTATTTACCGCGCGATATCTCTCTCCAATGCATGGCAATGGGGCTCTGTCCGTCGCTGTCGCGGGTCGTGAGTCGCTACGGCAGGACCCTTTTTGGAGCGAATTTTGCAGCGATTCTAGCTTGCTCAATTTGTCGCGCGATATCGCGCAAAAATGCAAATCGCGCAACAAACACGCGATTTGCAAATCGCTCAATGTGAATGGGGCCTTAGAGTGCTCCTGTACCTTTCCTCAGCAGGCAGGAGCCGGTAAGCTGCAGGTTACTCTTCCTGTGATTCCGGGAGCAGGGCACGCATGTGACATCATTGGTTGTTAGGATGCAGTCGGTCCTATCAACCAATGAGGGGGGGACCTGCGCTGGGTTATGTCTGGTGGCTGTACTCAGCCATCTCATCATCTTCAATTACAGGGGGGGCTGGGCACCTTCAATCACAGAAGGGGTCTGAAAAATTCCTCCAACAGAGGGGCCCCTGAGTTCCTATTTACAAGGGGGCTCCTGAGTTCCTTCACAGGGGAGGGGCCTTACGTTCCTCCAATCACAGAGTCTCTCCTAAGCTCCTCCTCTCTGTTATCGTGTCAGCCCTGTCCGGGCTCTCACCTGGCCCTGGTGGTCGATGTAATAGAAATATTCCCGCAGTCGTGGTCCCGGGCTCTGTCCCTGCACATAGCTGACCCAGCGGGAGGCCGGGAGCCGGGACAAGCGGAGAGCCCGCAGCAACACAGGCCGCCAGGACATTGCTAACACAGGCCGCACCGTCACCATGGAGATCGCCCCGCCCCTATTCTGAGAGTTCTCCGCCCATCCTCTGACTGTCTTCCAACCCCCTGCCCGCTCCGCCCCTCTTCCTCTAGGTGTCGTCCGTACTTTTTGCCTCCCTCCCGGAAACAATGAACAGAGCGGTCCGTTCCGCTTGTCTGTGATGTGGAGAAGTAGAGAGTAGCTGGTTGAGTTCACTTCCTTAACCAGTTGACATCCGCGGTGTTACACCCCCTTCCCATCCAGGCCATTTTTCAGTATTCAGCGCTGCGGTACTTTAACTGACATTTATTCCGTCATGCAGCGCTGTACTGAAATGAATTTTATACCCTTTTTTGGGGACAGATAGAGCTTTCTTTTGGTGGTATTTATTCACCACACCGGAAGTGAGTTAGTTTGTGAGTTCCTTCATTACTGACACCTTGAGGTTGATGTTGGGGGACACAGCGGGCTTTTCAATAAGAGGGCCACAAAGGGCTCCAGACTGTGATCAGCCATAAGAGGAATAGGAGGCTGATCATTGCTGACCTCCCTCTGAGAATGCCAGTTTCCTGGCTGGGGGGTAAACTGATACACATGAACCCAGCTGTGCCTAGCTGCTTTGCTGTACAAAGTCTATTGCATGCAGAGCTCAGTAGCTGAAGCTCAGATTACACACACAGCTGTATGAGTCTCTGAGCAGATCCTCCACCCTCTTCCTTGTGTAGAGGCAGCCTTATGTGTCCGGCTCCCACCATATACATCCCACAATTCTCTGGGAATCCTTCTGTAGGTAGGAGCTGGGCCAGCACAAACAGTAATTGGACACTCCCATAGGAGTAGCGGGCTATGACAGGAGTGAGGGGGGCGGTGCTGGGAAACTGACTCTTCCTGGAGTGGTCACATTTTCTAGCAGGCAGTTTGTGAATGAATAAAGATCTTTTATGGAAAGGAAAAGAGCGCCGGGGAGGATGTGCAATACTCAGTTCGGTTCTCCCTTTTTGCCGCCAATTCTTTTATGTTGGTGACGTCACCTCCCCCCATGCTGCTCCGTTCCTCACGGGGTCATCTCCTGTGCACGGCCCGGGACAGATGGTGTCAGCGCATACGCAGGGTGGATGATGTCATCGTCTTTGTCAGGTGACCGTGTTCAGGGCTGGCGATTGGCCGATCATATAAAAACAAGGCCGTGAGAGTCCTGACCACTGCAGATCGGTAACATCCCACAAGACCTGCCGTGTTGGAGTTGCTCTGACCCAGTCTTCTAGACATCAAAACTTGGTTCTTGTCAAAGTCACTCAAATCCTTACATGTTGTGGACAACTCTGGACGTCGTGATTGACGTTGGATTACGTCGGTGGACCAATTGTTGGGGGTTTTTGTTTTTAAATAAAAGACTTGTCAAAAACATCTTTTGTATTTTTTTCCAATTCAAGGATTTTTTCAAAATTCTGGACTTTTTATTTACAATTTGATTTAATCCTTTAGTGAATGGGTAGGGGTACAACTACTTACTCATTCACAAGGGGGGTGGCATCTGGGTGCCCCTTTATTAAAGAGATACCCTGATGTGAATAAGCCACCTGCCCGCAGACCCCCACAACCAACGCCACAGGCCCTTGTCCCCATCAGCACAGAGACAAAATGCTTTTCCAGGGGCGACCCAGTGCCGAGGCCATGTGGCAGGGGTTGGTTGCTCGCTCGTCCCCCCCTTTCCGGCCCTGCCAGGCCTATGCTCGGACCAAGGGTCTGGTTGGGAATTTTAGGGGGGACCCCATGTTCTTTTCCCCCTATTTTTGGGGGTGGGGTTCCTCAATATTTCTACCATCTACCAGACCTTAAGGGCCTGATATGACTTTTAGGGGGAACCCCGCGCTTGGAAAAAAAAAATTGGTCCCTTCTAACATTCCTACTAGACCTAAAGGGTATTGTTTGGGAGGGGGAACTGCACGCTTTAAAAATAAAAAAAAATGTTTTTCTTTAGAAATGTCAGTTTTGCTGCCGCAGGTTCTATACATTGTACAGATCCCCCACTTCACAGGGAGGTTAAGGGGACCCCCCGGGCACAATAAAGGAATTTTTCATTTTTATTGTTACCCTTTAAGTCATGTTAAAATTGTATTTTTTAAAAGTTTTTTTTGCATTGATTCCTGTCCCCCAGGGCAGTACCCGGCCCCCCATACATGTCCCCCAGGGCATTACCCGGCCACATTCAAACCGAACACGGGGGGTGTCCGGCCACTCACTAGTCTTCATTACAGGAGGGGGCAGGGACAAGACTAGTCACCCTGCACAAGGCGAGAGAGCAGCAGTGAGCGGTCTTTATTACAGGAGGGGGCGGAGACAAGACCGGTCACACTGCATAAGGCGAGAGAGCAGCAGTGAGCGGTCTTTATTACAGGAGGGGGCGGAGACAAGACCGGTCACACTGCACAAAGAGAGAGCAGCAGTGACCGGTCTTTATTACAGGAAGCTCCAAGTCTCACACGGGATTACTGCACAGATCTGGAAGAAATACACAAAGCTCACCAATATTCCAGAAGAACACACAGGACTCTGGTATGAGGACAATGTCTGCTGATCCCGGAGTTCATCTTCGATAAGAAGGGACACAAGAAGGAGCGACACAAAAACAAGTCACTTTCATTAGATGCTGAAATCCGTTTTTTATTCTTGTGGACACACTGTGACATCTGCATCTACTCTGTTAGAACCATCGCGGTACCAAGAAGTGAAAACAACAGGAGGACTCGGACTGGTCTCGTTCCGGACACGAAATTCAAAAACTTTTTACATTTTTTTGTTGTTGTTTTTTTTTTATAGTTATTTTTCGTTTTTTAATAAATAAAACAATTGTAAAAATAAAATTAAATAGATCTGTAAAAACAGTGGAAATAAAAACAAAGACGTATAGAAGGGCTACAAAGCAAAAGCGCTCTTCCTGTACAATGTCGCCTCCGTTCTTGCTTAAAACAAAAAAAAAAAAACAAGAAAACAAAAAAAAGTCAGGCAAAAAG